TAGATCAATGTTTGCCATCATTGACAACACAGTATTGTATGTGCAAACAGGTTCATCTTTGTTGTCTGTACCTCCCATATACCTCTCTCTGTCTTCCTCTTCCTCAATGTCACTGTGTTGATCACTCACATTTGGTGCACTGCCCTTTGCTTCACCCAAATCAATACTTGTCTCTCCCTATCTAGCAGTGTTCCCTGCCCTCCCCTCCCACTCCTGGGAACCAACAAAGAAAGTTTCATTCTATACAGAAACCTTTCTTTGATTTTTCACAATAATGGACTAATACAATATTTGTCCTTCTGTTACTGACTCATGATTATGTGAAATACTAAGCATAATGTCCTCCAAGTTCATCCATGTTATGCAGTATTTTGTGGATTCTACATTATTCTTTAGTGTTGCATAGTATTCCACTGTGTGTACGACCATAGTTTGGTTATCCATTCTTCTGTTGATGGGCACCTAGGTTGTTTCCATCTTTTTGCTATTGTAAATAGTGCTGCGATGAACACAGGTGTGCATTTATCTGTTCTTGTCCAGGCTCTCACTTCTTTGGGATATATATATATATATGGAATAATGGGATTGCTGGGTCAAATAGTACTCCTAATTCTAACTTTTTAAGGAATTGCCATACTGCTTTCCACAGTGGTTTTATCATTTCACAGTTCCACCAGCAGTTTATGAGAGTCCCAATCTCTCTACATCTTTTCCAGCATTTGTTATTTTTTGTCTTGAACTCTGCTATTAATGCTGGAGCCAGATGGTATCTCATCATTGTTTTCATTTGCATCTCTCCTGTGGCATAGTGCCTAAGGCATCTGACTGCTAACCAGAAGGCTGGCAGTTCAAACACACCAGCCAGCCACTCCTCAGAAGGAAGACTGGGAAATCTACTTCAGTAGAGATACTGCTGTAGAAACCCAAGGAGTCACTATGAGTTGGAACTGACTACACAGCAGTGAGTTCGGTTTGGCTTTTTAAAAATGGCTAATGACCTGGTGGAACCACTGAGACTATGGCCCCTAGCTGCCCTTCAGGTCTGGAATTGAGCCCACATCTGTGGTTTCCAGCCAAACAAAAGGCAGGCATGTGAATTGAACACTTTCCTCAAGTAGATACACTCCTTGGAGAGAACAATCATGGGAAAAAGAAGGGCTGCTTATGCACAGGGAGACAGCTCAGGGAGCAAGAGCGTATGGAGGGATGGACACAGGGAAGAGGTAACTATGGGGAGGAAGTGGGTGGGGAGCTGTTGCACTGTGGTCAATGTCATGAGACAAAGTATATTTAAACTGCTGTATGGAAAGTGAATTTGCTCTGTAAGTCTTCACCCAAATCACATACACACAAAAAAAATGGCTAATGATCAGGAACATTTCTTCATGTGTTTGTTGGGTGCCTAAATATCCTCTTTGGTGAAGTGTCTGTTCATATCTTTTGCCCATTTTTTAATTGGATTTTTTTGTCTTTTTGGTTTTGAGGTGTTGGAGTTTTCTATAAATTTTAGAGATATGTTCCTTGTCAGATATGTCATTGCCAAATATTTTTTCCCAATCTGTAAGTTCTCTTTTGATTCTTTTGGAGAAGTCTTTGGAAGCATATAAAATTTTAATTGTTAGAAGGTTCCATTCATCTAGTTTATTACCTGCTGTTTGTTCATACTGTGTTATGCTTGATAGTTTATTTATGCCATATATAAGGTCCCCTAAATTTGCCCCTAGTTTTTCCTTGATTAATTTTATAGTTTTAGATTTCATATTTAAGCCTTTGATCAATCTGGAGTTAGTTTTTGTGTATGCTGTGATGTACAGATCTTGTTTCATTTTCCTGCAAATGGATATCCAGTTCTGCCAGCACCATTTATTAAACAGACAATCTCTTCCCCATTTAACGGATTTCATCCCTTTGTCAAAGATGAGCTAACTGTAGGTCGATGGATCTACTTCTGGGTTCTCAATTCTATTCCACTGGTCTATGTGTCTGTCTTTGTACCAATACCAGGCTGTTTTGACTACTGTGGCTGTATAATAGGTTTTGAAATCCAGGAATGTGAGATCTCCTACTTTGTTCTTCTTCTTCAATAGTGCTTTGCTTATCTGAGGTCTCTCTCTTTCCTTTCCAAATACAATTAGTGATTGTTTTTTCCATATCTTTAAATAATGTTGATGGGATCTAGATTGGGATTGCACTCAATGTATAGCTTGCTCTGAGTATGACTGACATTGATTCAATCTTCCTATCCACGAGCATTGTATGTTCTTCCATTTATGTAGATCTCTTATGGTTTCTTGAAGTAGTCTTTTGTAGTTTTCTTTATATAGGTCTTTTGTAACCTTGGTAAGATTTATTCCCAATTATTTTATTTTTTGGTAGCTATTGTAAATAAGCAAGCTCTAGTGGCATAGTGCCTAAGGCATTTGACTGCTAACCAAAGGCTGGCAGTTCAGACCCACCAGTCGCTCCTCAGAAGGAAGGTTGGGCAATCTACTTCTGTAGTGATACTGCCTCAGAAACCCAAGGAGGGGTCATGATGAGTAGGATCTGACTCAACGGCCGTGAGTTTCAGTATGGCTAAGATCATTTAAAAAAAAAAAAAGTAGAAAATAACATATGTTGGCAGAGATGTGGGTAAACTGGAATCTTTATTGTTGGTGAGAAAGCAAAATGGTTTGGTATTGGTGTTATTGTTAGGTGCCGTTGAGTTATCTCTGACTCATAGTGGACCTATGCACAGCAAAATGAAACACTGCCCAGTCCCGCACCAGTTCCACGATTCCTGCTATA